TCTCTCTCTCTCTCTCTCTCTCTCTCTCTCTCTCTCTCTCTCTCTCTCTCTCGTTTAAAAGGTTTAATCTAATTTTTGAGCAAGTATTACATTATGATTCGTCTGTCTCCCCCTCTGTTCTTATTTGTTCCACTTCCCAACTCTTCGCTGGTTACCACTGTTGTTACTGTCTCATCCTTCCAGCATGGGCATGCACAGCACATGAATGCATGAACACTTTGAGAAAGAGAGAGAGCGTCTCATTGTAGCTCAGAATGACCTCAAACTTGCAGAGGATGACCTTGAGCTTCTGATCCTCCTGTCATTACCGTCCCAGGGCCAGGATTACAGGCAAATGTCTCCATATTCAGCTTATACAGTGCTGGAGGTCAAGCCCTGAGCATTGTGCCCGCTAGGCTAACATTCTACCAGCTACCCCGCCTTTTGCAATACCGGTGACTGACTCATGGCCTTCTTCATGCTAGGCTCATGCTCTACTATTCAGTCAGATTCCTAACTCAGAGTTTTTTCAATCTGTATTTTTAAAAAGCATGTATGGCTGGGCAGTGGTGGCGCATGCCTTTAATCCCAGCACTCAGGAGGCTACAAGAGCTAGTTGTAGGACAGTTCCAAAGCTACCGAGAAACCCTGTCTCGAAAAACCAAAAAAAAAAAAAAAAAAAAAGATGTATGTACTTACTTCTTTTTTTGTAGAATTCCACAAGAATGTTTTTGCATTTAAAAAAACAATATATTTCACATATAAATAAAGCCTTTTCATTTTTCACAGCAATTTATATCTACTATGTTCTGGTTAGTTTTTAAATGTTTTTGTTTCTGTCAGCCTGACATAAGTTAGGGTCATCTACGAAGAGGGAACCTCAAATTCACAATTGAAAAAAAGGTTTCCATAATATTGGTCTCTAGGGGCTAATAAAATGCCACTGTCGGGGCATTTTCTCAATTAATGACTGATGGAGGGCCCAGTCTATGGAGCTGTCACCCCTGGGCAGGTGGTGCTAGGAGGTATGAGAAAGCTGAGCTCGAGATATGGCTCACTGGTTAAGAACACTGACTCCTCTTCCAGAGGACGCAGGTTCAATTCTCAGCACCCACACGGTAGCTTACAATCACCTATAACTCCAGTCCCAGGAGATCTGATGCCTTCTTCTGGCCTCTGAGGGCACCAGATATACACATGGTACATAGACTTACAAGCAATCAGAATATCCATATACATAAAATAATTTAAAAAAAATCTGAGCAATCCATGGAGAGCAAACCAATAAGAAACAGTTCTCCGTGGTTGCTTCAGTTACTGCCTCTAGGTTCCTGCTCTGCTAGGGTTCCTGCCTTGTCCTCCTTCAATGATAGACTGTGATAGACTGTAAGCCAATAAACCCTTTTCCCTCTTACTGCTTTTAGTCAGTGTTTAATCACTGCAAAAGAAAGCAAACTAAGACAGAAATTGGTACCAGGATCACAAACTATTACTGTGACAGCCTGATCGTGTTGTTTTGGGGACGATTGTAGAAACAGTTCCAACTTTGGGCAGGAAAAGCCACTGAGTGCTCAGAGCTCAATGAGCTGTTGTGGGAGCTTCGGAGATAAGAATGATGGGAACAATGCCGATGATGGACACCAGGACTGAGAAATGTCAGAGGAAAGTACACACTCTATCAGGACTGTTGGTGCACGCAAACAAAACCTGTGCTTTACTGGGACAGGCTCGCTGGGGCCAAGAAGTCAGCTGTGATTAAGAATAGAGCAGCAGGGAAATGCAAATCAAGACAACTTTAAGATACCATCTTACACCTGTCAGAATGGCTAAAATCAAAAACACCAATGATAGCCTTTGCTGGAGAGGTTGTGGAGAAAGGGGTACACTCATCCATTGCTGGTGGGAATGCAAACTTGTACAACCACTCTGGAAAGCAGTGTGG